CATCCCTCCCCCCTCCCCTTCCACCACAACAGACTTACCACCTGGAGGCAGCTGTATTGGAAATCGGATTGGTATCAGCCAATGTGCCTCCTTAAATATCGGCTATCAGTATTGGCCCCCCAAATCTCTGTTGGTGCACCCCGAATTGCAATGGTTCCAGGGTCCTGGATTCTCAGGAGTGCCTAGAAGCTATTTTAGGACAGCTCAAGTCTCTTCCCTTTAGCTGCCTCCTTCAGAGACCTGTCTTAATTTCCAACTAAAGGCCAGGCCCACCAAGTAGCTTAAAAATTTGCAGTCTGGTAATGTCAAGAACAACTTTGACATGGTTGAAGTTACTGTAGTTCCCCTGGGGAGGGGGAGCCAGGGAATTCCTGAAGCTTATTGGAGACAAGAAGACAGTGAAGATGACTAACACAGATAGTTAAAAAACAAAACAAAACCAAGCATGGAAAGACTATATTTCTGTTGCACGGGGGTGGGGGGGAAGAAATATCCGTAAGAAGTTCTTAAATGTTAAGTTTCTTAAGATAAATTGTTAGTAAGGACTCTGGAAGAGCTCTGAAAAAAGGGAATAACGATACTAGTAGTAGTACTAGCAATACTTTTTCAGGTAATACTTCTCAGCAGCTCTTGAGGCCCACAAACGATGAGAGAGCATTTGAAAAACTAGAATCGTCAATGATTAAATATATCTTGTATCACAGACTAAAATTTAAAAAGGCCTTTCCAGCCTGCCTAAAATCTTTCCCACCTGAAACCCTTCACCCTTGGGGAAAAATATGAAACATGCACTGTTTAGACTACCAGCTAATTCTCACTCTGTCAGACAAAAGTGATGGTGCAGAGAGTCCCCCTGACAACATTTTTCCTCTAACATTATGTATACATCTAGGGATATACATGATGTATACATGTGTCAGCTGTGTGTACATTAGATGCAGCATTTGGGCCAAGTTATGAAGCAGTAGATCTTTAGGATGCCCAGAATCCAAGCCTGTAAGGATTTTGCAGGGTTGCACCTGGAAACAAACTGGTAATCTGTGCGGTGTAGAGAAGTGGTGTGATGTGGTGTAAAATGCTGCTATGAAAATGGGAGTCTAACGCTTTGTACAGAGCAAGTGTTGCAGGTGTTGATTTTTGGCATTGAGAGGATAATAAGAAAACTGCAGTGAGAATACTGTTTTAACCTTGTTACAGTCCCCTGTGTGGTAGTGTCAGAAAACATTTGACAGTGAGAAAGAAAGAAGCTGGATTTGAACTTACTAGGCTTTACTTTGGGAAGCTGCATTTCCCTAATGGAAGCTGTAGTCCTCCTCTACAAAGGAGAGACAAATGACACCAGGAAGGTTTAAGAATATTGCCTAGAAGGACCTGACTGTGCATCTTGACTCTCCCCTTGTTTACGTCACTGCATTGGGATTGTGCTGACATGAAGCTGTGGCACCAGGATTAGACCCATATTTCTCTCATCTGTTTTATTGGCTTCGTGGAGTTGGCTGAGTAAGTAGACTTTTAATGAGAGTTTCATTTTAAAGAGACAAGAGTGTGTGTTCATCTTGAACACGGTGTCTGTTTTATCTTATTCATTTTATTGGACAAATGATGGTAACCCAATTCTAGGTAGCAGGTTTATTGGAATACTGGGGCTGGTGGTTTAAACATAACAGGTACAGTAGATTGATTCATACTGAGTTTATGAAGGTCTTCCCCTGCTTGCTATTCAGGACAACATATGGGAAGGCATTGTTGTGTGTTACTAATTTCTTAAATGCATTTAATTCAAGTAATAAGAAATGCCTGAGCCATGGGCTTTATTCCTTGCCTGTTTCTCAGAGGTTAAACTCTTTGCACTTTTCTTTTCTGTCTGTACAGCACCTTGCACAATGGCGGTGCTGCAGATATAAGAATTAGTCAGGTGCACATGCATAGGTATCTCTTATTCTTTACCGTGCCAAAATTTTAAACTAATTACAGCGTACAGGTACAAAAAAAGAAAATTTAAATTGCATGGAACGGTGTATAAAGTCACACATTTTGGCTAAGTACAGATGGTCAAAAAGCCCAAGGCTGAATCAGATCAGTCTTTTCAGGTTAGCATAAATTGCAGAGATTAAACTGAGAAACAACTGGGCACGCATTCACTTTTGATTTAGGAAACGCAGCTGCATACCTGCAGTGGCTCAAGCCAGGGGGCGCAAGAGCACAGCTCTCTGGCATGTAGCCAGCATGGGCAATGTGTTCGCTTCCTCTTCCTGCTGCCCCAGAGATCTCCGGGATTTGCAGTTCAGCGTTACAGCAGCAGGACTCTGTAGAATTGCTCATTATCACTTCCTCTTCTTGCTTCCAGGTGCCTCTGGGATTTGTAGTACAGAGTCATAGCCAGCAACAAGTTTTTAGCAGGGCAGGGCAGCTCTGTACTCTGGAGGGGTGGGGGAGAGGGAAGTTTAACCCCCGTCCCTGGCCCCAGATCCCAACCAGGGTTTGACTTGGGGGTGGGCATAGGGGATGGGACAGTCCCTGCCTTCCTCCCCCCACACACTCCTTCCCTGCTGGAGCAGACATCATAACACAGGGCTGGAAAAAGCATGCTGGGATGCTGGGGGACCGTAATTTAACTTGGACCAGGAAGGGGTCTGGGACAGAATTTCGTAAACTGGTTTGACTCAGATCAGTTAAGTTCAATACTACATTCAACCAGGTTTATCTTAAACCAGTTTCAGCCATTTTGAAACTGGTTTATGTGCACTGAACTTCTGTTCTGTTACAGGTTTAAACCAGTTTCTGATGATGTAAGTCAGTTTATGTGTAAATTCTGTCCCTAGCTTTTGAGCCAAACCTTTTCAGACCATACTTAGCCAGGACTTCTGTTGACTTTTGTAGAGTCTTCTAACTGAAGAGATCGTCACCTAACCTGTAACCTCTCTGGGCTAATGCTTTGAGCGCTACCTTCATTTCACCATTTTGGAAGGTCCCTCTTTGACTTCGGGTGAGTCATTTGCTTCTCTTCCTTCTGTAAAATGGATATTGTGAAGGGGAATATTTTATAAAAAACAATACTGAGGTGCTCAGGGGCTAGGGCAGTTGGGGCATATAAATACCATAGAGGGAGAGATTTATGGCACTATGACTGCCTGAGCCTTGATTGATGGTCTCTGGGTGCTAATGCAGGATGAGTAATATTCGACTATAGGCTTTGTCTCTTTCTGAAAGAAAAGGGAATAACGGAAGGATGTTTAATATTTTATAGAACTTACTAAAGATCAGAGGCTACAAAACTGAATTACTGAGATTTATTATTTACAAATCTGAATGCATTTTTTTCAGAACGGAGCGAAATGGCTTGACCAAGGGCATCTTAACTAAAGATGCCACAAGACGTGGAAAAAAATGGGGTGATGGATGCTGATATTTGCGTATAGTTTTAAAGACATCCAGGCGAACCCTTAGAATCAGATTTGTCTCAGCAGTGAAAGGGAAGATTATTGGGTCATTTAAACTTGCCTGCCCAATCTAATTCCAAATTGAAATACATTTCTTTTTCGTGAGTGGGAGCAGGAGTGCCAGAGTTATAGGGGGTGTCACTTGTAAGAAATTTGGTAAGACTATAAATAATATGAAGCAAGGAGTACCTTTCTTGCTCCCCCTCCCCATTTTCTGCAGGGCAGCTGTTGTCACTGTTAAGAAAGCATAAGGAAATTAAGAGGGACTGAGCAGCAGTGGGAGATAGGAGGTCATGAGGAGGTCATGAAGGGCAGAGGGGGCTGCAGTAGATTAGTGTATTATCCCAGGGCACCACCTTCTGACCCCATCTCTAGGTATTTCTCCATCTATTTTCTAAACGGCAGCACTTCATCACTGCCACATGTTGAAAAATGGCAAAGATAAATATTACATTGAGGGCTTTATTTTTTCCATTTCTTCCGTGTGCACTGTCCTTGAGAAGCGGTTGTGAATCTGTGTCCAAGGGAACATTTCCTGTGCAGAATCTTTGGCTGTGCCCTGGCACTGTTTTCCTTGCATTCATAGCTAAAGTCCTAATTCTGAAATGGGTGTCAGTTCAGTGATTGCCTTGTAAGTAATTAAAGCTCTGTTGAATTTGGCCACCACCATTTTTCAAACCACAATGGGACATTGTATATGATGGTTTTTATGTATTTCAACTGAGTCAGCTTATCAGCAGCTGCTGCCTGAAGTGACAGAAGGTGTTTTGTTCGGGATTGTTCTGGGAGTGTGGACTTGTTTCTTAGCCTGCTGACCCTCATGACCAGGGTCTCTACCAAAGAGGCACTTGATTATTTGAAGTACTGACTTGGCATATCACTCCCATAATCTGATTTTTGTTTCTGAAGGTTAGGTTTAGTGTTTTTGCATGTGAGGTAGGTATTTTCAAAACCTTTTTTGTAGACTTAGATGTGGATCTTCCAATAAGATAAATCTTCTGCTTTGTAAAATGTAAACCCAAGGCTATAACAAGAATCTTTTCTTTCATTATACGTTTCATGACTCATTCACATGATGATAGAAGCAGACCTGTCTTTTTTTAGTCTTCGTGCAAGTCTATGATGTGAGCTCATATTACATAGGTTGTATTTTTCTAAGGTTTGCTTGTCCGCTCCTCCTGATATAATATATTGTTGTATCTTTGCCAAATGACATTTTTGGCTTTGACCAAACTCAGAGAAATTGTAAGATTTATTAAATGCCTCAATCAGTGCCATGTATATGCTACCACATGCATCCAGCCTTTTCTGGGCACTTTTATGGTGGTTTAAAAGCCTGTTACAGTGATAAAGTAAACCATGTATGTGTTTCACAGTGTTCTCCCCCTCTAACGGTCTTGATAATCCCCTACAAAACCAGCAGCCTGATTCTTTTTTGACTTGTTAAAGAAGATGGTCTTTGCAGTATGTCAAGAAAGCTAGTAGAGAGGGGGGTAACTGAGTACTAAACCTTCACACACTCTGCCTTGTCAGCAGACCTCACCCATTTAAATGGTGCACTGTTTCATAGGAGGTGAAATGTATCCCTCTGAGGAGCAGGCCAAGGCCTGCGCATCACTTGAAGTCCTCTTGAAGCTTTATTTTGATTGCTTCTGGGTGGTGGTAATGGTACTTAGGCTGTGCTGTACCTCTGTGCAGGGACAAATTCCACCAAGGAGAGGCTTCCTCCCAGGTAACCAGCACGGTTATTAAACCATTACTGTTATCAATAAGGTACATTTAAGGAAAAGATACAGATGCATTTATTTTAAAGGAAGATTATAGTGACAGAGGGAATTTGTCAGTGTTGTATTACATTAGATCTATACCTGTCAGATTGATGATTCTCCTTTGTGGTTTTGTCCAAAGATAAATGTTAATTTTTTTTCCTGAGTCTTGGTAATATGCTGTAAAATGCCTTAGAACATAAAGGTTACATATAAATATTTTGCTATTTTCTAATACATTGATAATTACTTTTAAAAAGCTTGTTGGTGAACTCTGTTTTCGTACTTCTTTTGGTATGAGCTCCTTCTCACCTCTCCTTCAACTCTGCCTGTTCACCCCATAATGTAGAATCAGGAGATAAAATGAACAGATCCTGACAATGAAAATAAATCTCTCTGATATAGCAATAAGAAAGTCTGATTCATTTTTGATGTCCATGCTTTGGAGGAAGTGTTGGCAGAGTAGCTGAAAGTTCACCTCCTTTGATGTATGTGGATTGTGAGATGTCTTCAAAATCATTCTTGCTTTAAACAGTCTCAAATGAACAGGAGAAGTGAATGAATGAAAAGACAGATTTTCTTAGGAACTTCACTTTTAGTCTGAGGCACAACCTTTTTCATCTCTTAACATTAACCAATTTTATAGTAATAGGAGAAATTGATTTGTATGACCAGTTTTGTATGCAGGCTGAAAAGTTTAATCCCCAAACCAAAGCTTATTTCAAAAGAAAATGTATAAACTGTAAATGAAAATTTGGAAGGAATTACTTTTGAAGGAATTACTGTTGAAACAGTCACTACCAGTAAAAATTGGTGAGAGAAATATTTTCAAATATAGCCTATGATTTTTGAGTAACTAGCAGTGTGGTGACCTTGACTGGCGCTGTGGGTATCCCCCTGCTCCCTGGGTCGGGCCCTCAACTCGCCTACCACGACTTGATGGCATTTGTAAAAAGAAGGGGTTCAGTGGTGTTCTCCTCCACAACCTGGAAATGGGGGTACTCACAGATTCACTGCAGTTGGTCCTGGGGCTCTGCCTCCCCTACACCCCATCCACTTGCCAACCACCAGCTGCGTTGGGCTGCTGTGCCAGCTCCTGGCTTGGCTCCTTGCATCTGGCTGGTGGATCTCAGACTACCCGGCCTCTGCTCAAAGTGCTGGCTTATAGCTGCAGCCAGCCCTTCCCTCCTGCCTCCCTTCTCCTGGCTGTACGCCAGGGCTGGGTCTCCATCTGTGAGATCCATGGCTGGCTCGAGGCTGAATATGCCCGGCCTGGGCTTCAGGGGTCTTATGGACGTCTTGCCCAGCTCCCAACTGCTGCTGCTGCCGCCTGTTCTCAGCGGGGCAGCGTCATGTGGGGAGTCAGCTCTGCTGGGTAACTCCCCGGTGAGTTTGATGTTTTGCCTCCTGCCTCTTTCTCCCCACCTGACTCCTGCCGCGGTTTTTAAATCTCCTAAGGTGGCGATTGCGGCTGATGTCATCAACTGGCCACCGCCCAGCTTGATCGACAGCCACTTGAAAAGCTGGCGTGCCTCCTTCTCGTCCCTGTCCTGTCCCTCAGGTAAGTTTTTTTGAGTGGGGCTGGGGTCCCTGAGCCCGCCTCCGGGAGCATTGGGGTCTGTCCCCAGTGCTTCTGGACCCTGAGGATGGCCCCTGCCGCCATAATCAGCATACAGTGTTCTTTGTTCCAAGGATGTTGGGTGCGCTAGCAGAAACATAAGCAGGGAATCTTTTCTCTCTCAAATCTCCAAGCAGGTGCTTTGGTTGGTAATCATATTACCTGAGTTCTGTCTATACAAGCACTTCTGTTTGCTATCACAGTTGGAGCTGCTTTGGTGCTAGTGGAATGCTGGGATATTTCCCTAGTTTGTAATGTCACTAGGTCCGGTGTCTCATTTTTAGCAGCAAGGTGCGTACTAAGGTGTATATACGTGATTAAAAGCATACTGTTTTTAGTGACTTGCGTAAAGTGCTGTGTTGTATTCTGGTGAGAACTAGTAGTATGAAACGTGTGGTTGCTGATCTGCCTAGGGTATATCTTACAGTGATTATTTTGGTTGAACACGTGCCTCTAATTGTGAAATCACTTGTAAGACTTGTCAGGCAAATTGATATATTCTCAAGAGCTACTGTGGGTCTCTCTCAGAATGCTTTTTGAAGTCATTGAGTTTTCATGGAATTGCCAGGGTCTAACCCAAAATTCGGGTGCGAATGTATGAGTATGGCTTGACTTTTACATTGCTCTGAGAGAAAATAAAGTTTTGATTTTGTGTGGAGAAAGCTAAGTGGATCAAAAAATTAGCAGTATTTTCGTGACTGTGTTGAAATAATGCTTTAAAAAAAAGACAATGTAAAGGGGAAAATGGGGCAAAGAAATGATGAGGCTTTTATTTGGATGCAGTGGTTTCCAGCTTGACTCTCAGCAGGGTGGACTGATTTAAATCAACTGGATTTAAATCAGCAAGCAAAAGCCCAATTTAAATAATTGATTTATTTCCCATTATATATATTTTGTTGTTGTTTAAAGAAAGGTATATTCTCATTTGTTGATATAACTATTAAAACATGTTGATTTACAACTAATACTGTTTTACAATAGATTTGCTACATATGTTTCATAGGTACACAATCTCTGTGTATGTGTTGTCTCTCTCAAAAATATACAGTTTAACATAATTGAATGGTTAGAAATCCTACATTTTAGTATGTTATGAAATGGTGAAATTTATTCACTAGATGATGCTTTTTTTTGCTCAGATTTTTATCAAGCTGAAATAAGA